AAATAGACAGAGCCACATTAGAGCTAATATAAACTCTATAACATTTTCAACATATGAAAAACTCTAGTAAATGGGAAAAGATGGAGAAATAGAAATTTTTATTGTCACGCGATTCGTATCATTCCTGCTTTCTTTAACATCTTCCAATCTCAAAAATTTATATCCTATCAACTAAAAGATGTTGTAGGACTTACTGGTGAAGTTACTATCAATGCAAATGGTTCACGTATCCCATTATTTACCGTATATGGTCTGGATTCCAACTACAATCAGATCTCGTACATCAATTTCACAATGTCCAATAATGTACCTGTAAGTCTTCGTTGGATTATGTGCAGTTTATTCGAATTTGAAATATTTTTTCAAAGGTGATGTCAAAAAGCTATATTGATGAAGCAACATCCATATGGGCTACACGCGGTGGTGTGCGGTAAATTATGGAACCAAACTTATTTTGTAGTTTTGTTTTAATAGGTATCGAGGGTTTTTAGACCACTTTCGCGGCCTATCTGCGGCTATACTGGTACGGATTGCCCGAAGGAATTTTGGGAACAGTACTCAATCTACGTGAACGTTGGAGGAGCACTACTCCTCATCTTCTTGTTGGCTACTGTTCTACTGCTGGCGTATTTGTTTAGGTAAAATTATTCAGTAACATTATTACAATCATTCTTCCAAATTCCCGTACCGATTAATAGTACAGAAATTAATTTTTGAAGCCGAAGTGAAACTTAAAGAATGTAGAAGATATTGATGATACAGTAGTAGCGTAGTTGATTATTATTTTGAGGCCATGTCAACTTCTCAAAAATGAACACTTATGAACTAATCCTTCCTGCAATTGGCAACGTAACTCTGCTCGTTGAGCGCAAACGGTATGATGTTAGGCCAGTACATTCTGTAATTTGCAGATGAGGTATTAAAGGTCTCAAAGCTGTCTCATTACTTAATATGGTGAGCAAGAATAAATGGCACACAATTCTAAACCGAGCTGGACAAACGCTGTGTTCACTTTAGTTCAGCATAAAGTAGATGCGCTTTTTGCTCTATACAGGCTACATTAGAGTGTTTAAACTAAGAAAAGACCATTTGGGAGCTGACAGATACCCATATAAAATTAAACAATTTTGATGAGAAAACGTTTTGCCAGCAAGTTCACCATTTAAAGTTTAGACTGCTTGATGGAGTTGAGAGGATGGTTACTTTTTGATGAGCCAACAGAATGAGTCAAAAAATTATGGTCAAAACAGCTATATCTATTTATAGGTTATTCGGAATGTTTGCGCGCTTGTAAACCCGCACATATCTCAACTAAAAATAAGGCTCAATCGATCTGATGACCACAAAGATGTGCAAATTTTGGCATTGAAACAGAACTTAGCGTATGCCGCCCAGCCTTTGAGAAATT